TTTCTCATAGGTTCTCCTCATAGGTAATTGAGATATCGTTGGTTTGTATGTTACTTATTTACCAATCGATTATTTTGTCCCCATATATTATTGTAACAAATAGAGATAACTCATTAACACTTCGTATGTTTCGTAGTGGTAAAACATTTTGTTGTACATCGAACGTTTAGTTCATTAGAATACAAATAATGATAAATAGCACCTCTAATAAATTGAAAACTTTTGAAGATTACAATTGATATTATATAGAAAAATATTACCGTGTCGTGTTCATAATATTAGGTACATGTGTTAATACCGGTAGTCGTAGCATCTGGAGGCGATCATCTAAAAAATAATTAAATATATATATCTAAGGTAATATACGATAAAGTTTTCAATTTAAAATATAACGTCTCTTGAGGCAATCCTACAAATAACATGTGATTTTTTTTCTTTTCCATTTCCAACCAGCCGTAAACGAGTTTCTACTAATTCTGACAAAACCAACACCTACAAATTGAAAATCCGTAAAAAATGTCGGCGGCGTTACTTTTATCCGTTAACAAATCCGGATTAAACTCTCGTGTTCGCATACCTTTATTGAAACAATTTTAAAGCTGTTACCCCGCAAGGGCTATACATACAAATTGTACGAAATAAAATTTTCTTGTCGTTCAATACGTTGTGGTGTTTATATTAATTATTTGTTTGACTTTTTTTTTCACAATATCATATATAGTTTGAAGAAAGTCGCGTTATACAACTAAGACTATTTTAGATAACTAGATTTACTTTAAAATTTTATAACCATCAAATAATGACTATTTGTAAAAGAACAGAAGTATACATATGTGTAATATGTACATATAATTATGAGATATAATAATTTCAAGTAATTGAATTATACTATTGTTTGCCACAGTGTGAATATTTAGTAATAGAGTCATTTCGTCTTGACCTTAAAGCGGATTTTGGTACATTATATTTCTTGTTTAATATGAAACGTGACGTAATTTAAACGCACTTTATATTCTAAAATTGTACTTAGGTTGTTTCTCATGTTTTGCTCATTCGGTAACAGTCGAGCCGTTTGATTTAGGAGATGGGCTCAAATGTTCCTTAGCGGTACAACACTATAACGCATGCTGATTTATAACACTTCATTTACCAACGAAATATAAAACGAGTGACATATAAGAATTATTGGTTTTCAATATCTTTTCTAAGGTTATTTTGATTTAAAAATAATAATCACATATGATGAATTTCTTGAATGATTTTCAGCATAAATATTGTGTGGATTGATATGATCCAAGTGAGTCTCTAGAAACGGATGGTTGAGATTGTCCTAGTTCGAAATGGGCTCGGCCGCTCTCATCTTGCAATCACTGTTGCATTTTATTACTTTTCCATTTCCACTGGGGTTTCAATTTCCTTTCTCATAATTAATAGCCTTTCTACGAGTTGCTGACGTTTTCTATTCCCGCGACGCGGAACTTTGCCGTTCAATTTGCATTCCATCTACGACCTTGTTAGGCTCTTCTACGTTTGTTTTATGCTTTATTGTTTCAGTTTTCATTTTGTTTAAATATTTATGAATATTGTTAAAGTTCTATAGTTATTCCAAGCACTACAGAGACTTGATATATTCAAAATTTATGGAAGTTTTCATTAAAATATTACAAAGTTTAATAAAAATCACGGCGTCTATATTTCTCCTATTGTCGGTCTCTGTTAGTATTGCTAATTAAATAAAGTTTCATGAATGTTATGCGATATATTCAAACTTGTCACATTTATAAAATCAACGATTCAGAAGTAAGCCATGGCAAGGATGAAAGACAATGAAATTTTACGGTTTATTTGAAGATTTATGGACCATAAACATATTGTCGGCACTTTATGACTTTTGACGGAAAACAAGGAAAAGTTTATACATTTTTTATTGTTTTGTGCGTTCTCCGTTATTGCTAATATTTTATAGCAGATATTAGAGAAGAAAAAGGAAGGACGTTTAACTTCGACAGATAATAAGAGCCAATAAATTAGGAAAAAAAAATATTGTCAAAGGATTTCTTTTATTACCGAGTACAGTTTTTGTTCCTATATTGTATGTTATTATTTTCCATATCCCTATAAGGTTTTCAGGTATATATAAATAGCATATAGAAATTTTACACAGTATTTTCAGACGTCAATTCTTGGAATTTCATGTATTTTATATTGATACGTAAATGAGATATACTTTCACACCATGCTTTGCATTCAATATGTATAGGTAAGTTTATGTCGCGACAATGTTGACAATTGTAATCATATTAAAATCACTCACAATTCAATCCAAAAGTGCTGCTTATGTAATTTTCGTATTACGTAAGGCAGTCTAAATAAAAATTAAAACAATCTTTGTGATTTTAGTTACAGTACTCCGTCATATTTTCATACATGCAAACGTATTTTTTTACTTTACGTTCTATGTTACAAATGTTCAGAAACGAAGTTGACCAGACCTCAAGGGGCCATACGTTTTTAACGCTCATAAAAATGGCTGTTGAAATTTATAGCCATTATTCGATTGATAATAATAAAAGGATGGATCGATTTACTTCAGAAATGATCTACTTTATATAATGATTTCTATAAATCTAAATCTATATCTATATATCTAATCGTCTAACGTCAAAAAAACAAATAAACATAATAATCCGAAAGAATAAGTTTCATTTAAATGAAAGTCTTACATCTCAATAAGTTATTGACATGTAGTTATATGTATAATCGATTTATAAAGCAATGTGCGAAGCAGTCTGCGAAGGCATTTATAAATATCCTTACATCCTCAGGAAAATCTTATTTGAAGAATAGGCTCCCGAAACGTTACAAATGCACGTCCACATCACTTATTGGGACAACGTTTTTAGCATTACGAACATATTATTAATGTCTACAACTCGAAATTTTCACGGCAACTTCTTAATGAGGCTGGGAATATTTGCGAACTAAGTGCTAGAACTTAAAAGACGTGTTAACTTCCATTCGATGTCATTAAAAGTTTGGACTCGGAAGATTTATGCCAATACTAATTAGCTAGACACTTATAAAAAAATATATTTATTTCCTTGGCCCCGGAAGCGGTACAAGTCGTTTAATTAAAATGGCTCCAATGCTCAATCGTTAACTGTTTCATTGTTATAGTTAAATAGCACGCTAATAGCATTCGAAGTATTAAATATGGAGTTTGTGTTTACTGCTTACGATATTTTTTTACAACTACGCTGATATATAAACATGCCAATTAGCTAATTATGATTTCTTTCGTATTTTCGTGAGCTTAGCATATAAATGAATCATATTAAAATATATGGTAACCGCAACGTATTTAGATTTATTTCTTTTATGTGAGTTAATAAAATATGTTAACAATAATGGCCAGTCTTCAATTCACGCATGCGATTGGAATCCATACAATGACAAACAGCCAACTATATTTTTATAATACACAGCCCTCTACGTACCTAGTGCAGAGTCACGATTCCCTCATAACTCGGGAACGTGCCGGATGCACCAGACTACACTCGCAAAAAGTTTAATTGTTCCTTTGCTCGCTAATGTGTGCTTGTGGGAAACTCCACAATAAATCCATGTACATATTTTATTTTTCTCTCTGTCAACATTCAGCGATATACGACTGCTATATGAGAATATATATGCCGTTACATGAAATTAAATGACCCATTAAAACTCTATTTTGTGGCCATCGCAAAAATGTAACATGAACTTTTGTAAAATTAGCTTTAATGACATGATTTTTTGGTTTATTATTAAAATTTCATATTATGTGATTTCACATATAATAAAATATTGGCAATATGATAGTTGTTGTTTCTTAGTTTTCATCTATCTCACATAAAAAAAAATGTATCTTTGTATATATATAGTTATTCGGTAATTTATTTAAGAGGTTGTGTTATTTGAAGTGTCCTAATACCGGTCATTAGCAAACGTTTACATGGATGCAAGAAAGCAATTTGGCTCCGAGGGGCCGTTTGAGCGATACGAGCAAAAACTTGGGAGAGTGACAGCTGACTAGTTCATAATTATGGATGCAAGGGATGCAGTTAAATGAGTTGTGTAATTTGAGGTTTTGTTCTATATAAATATGTTCCCTAAAATCATGACCGCCAAATGGACGCAAAAAATATTTGCATGTTTTAATTATTATTATTTAATTCGTTTTTTGGCAATTAGATTATCTAATATTAATACATCTGTAGTTATTTTGAGATAGCATTTCAGAATCACTCAGAAATATTTTATAAATAAAAAGTATTCGTTTCAGGAATTAAGATAAATTTTTTAAGCGAAACTATCTCAGGGTTTGCTTTGAATCACAAACGGACTGGTTAATTTGGCGTTTTCGATTACTCTTAATACACTATACCGCAGTATGTACAAGGAAATAATCTCTCAAAGTAAACAAGCACTTTATTTGAACGATAGTAAACGTGCTCAGACTGCATTTGCTGTTATATGCTTTCAGATAACGCAAAGACTTTATTAGTATTTACCGACAACGAGTTCTGACAGAAATTTTTTGCTGAAATAATGAAAATTTAATTTGTCCATTCCCAAAAGGTCCATTGCAAGATATTATGTATAATTCTTAAATCCTGACCTATAAGACGAAACTTCTCAGCATTCCATGGATTCACCGTGCGGGTGCCGGGTCCATCGCGTTGCAGGGGGAGGAGCTTCAACAGTGCCTGGGACTTGCGACCCAAGTGTAGGTTTAAGGGGCCCCTTAACTAACGCGCGTTATACGCTCACCTCCACTGTCCAAGCTCCTCTCCCTACCTAACCAAATTTGAAAAGAACCTACTAGGGCTGCCTTCGATGTACGTTCCAAGAATGCATTAATGTCAGTTCTGGACAAGCCCAAGTCCTTTAGTAGGTTATAGAGAGATTTCGCTGTTATACCTCTCGCTCCCACCTCTACCGCGTACAAATCTACTACGAACCTATTTCGAGTGAGTTCGTTTGTGAGCTCGTAATATTTGTTGACCTTGATGGTATGGTCTTTGGGGATGTTGGTTTCCCAAGGGACCGTAAGCTCTATCATCACTACGCGCTTTAAAATTCGCGAAAACAAAAAATATATCCGGTCTGGAGGCCGACGCACAAATATCCTCGGGGATTTTATATTGTTTTTCATACGTGTCCATCATTATAGTCCAATCCGACGCCGCTTTAAGGATGGAGTAAGGCTTGACGTTTGATTTTGTAGCCCTAGTGCCTTCTCTCACAAAACCTACTGATCGTTCGTTTGTGGTTATTCCCTTTTGCGCTCTGGCTACCGAAAGACTAACCGCTTCACGTATGACTTCTAGAACCCTATCGTGACGACGCGAGTATTGACCGCTGTCAAGGAGTACCCTACATCCCACCAGCAGATGCTTAGCAGTTCCAACTGCCTTTCCACAGATATAGCAAGTTTTTTCGGTACTTTTACCCCATCTTACTAAATTACTCTGATCTGGGAGAGTCATCTGGAACGCATTGAGATAGAATTTTAGCAATGCTGGCGACCAATCATAAATTAAAGTGCGCCATTTTAATGCTAATGGGATGCAAAAATCTCCTATGTCTAACCACTCGTTCTGCATTTCTAAATTCATTGCATGGATCTTATATTTATCATTCTCGTCTTGCCGAATAAAAGACTTCAATATATCCGCATCTTGGACTTTCCTATTTGATCCTAACCCCGCTCTGTTACTTTGCGCTCCTATCATAAATTGCTTATGGAATTGAAGTCGTGACTCTAGCTCGGGGGCATCTTCATCTTTTGGGAGCGATGTCACTATGTCATCATGGGATTTCCCCAGGATATATCTCTTGGAAACTCTTAGGTGTTTATAGAGCTCCGATGGCCTTTTTAGACTCATCCCAAAACTATTGCTTCCCCTAAATAACGCCGATGAATCAGCCGTTAGAGCGAGCCCGAGCCACAACTTCAACATCTTTATGACGCCTGCATCTAACTTTGACAAAAGGGTTTTATTAAAATCATAGACGAGGAAAGGCCAATTCAAACGTGAAGTTAAGTAATTCTCGTAGATCCACGCTTTTTTGACGTTACTTATCAGTTGGCTATCTACCTTGTTAAGATCGTTCAAAAAGCTATCTACTATTCCTTCTAAAGATGGAGTACGGCCTATATTATCTATCTTACGACCGAGAAATTTATACATATAATATTTAAATGTGTGAATCTGTATACAAAAGTTAAACAATAGTATTGGATAAATTATTATTATATATTGTGAAATTAACCCCGAAGACATTGAAATTTTTTTTACTCCAAAGGACACATACATAAAGGACACACGATACTTGAAAAAAATTATCTACAGTAAAACTTTTCACTCCTGGTAAAGCTGTCAACGTCATGGTAAATAGGATTATATTTGTATAATTTTATTTTGTTATTTTCATTAATTGGCATTTTCTGAATGAAGTTAATTTAATAAATTTTAAGCTTACATTTTTTTACAACAAAATAAAGGATCGAAGCCTGCCATGTCAGACGGCATAATAAAAAGTTCAGGAACATTTTCGGACGGTTAACTAATTTCCGTTATACTGTATTACGCCGCAGGCTCGACGTTAGGTTTCAACCCTCGACCTAAAACTAATTTTATTCGGCTTCCAAAACCTCCGTAGGCTTTAAGGTAAAAAAAGGCTTACATCATTCCAGGAGAAAAAATATTTTGCTTTTATTTTGGCTGGATACATTCTTAGTAATAGATGTTATTATGTATTCTTTTTTTAAAGCGAATATTTTTTATGTTAAAGTACCAACACTTTATTTTCAATATCTTTTTTTTCTGTATCCCTCCTCCTATGTCCTCCGAAATAGTTTACAATTAATTTAAAAATGCAACTAAAATATTATAAAAGCCAAAGTCAAATATATATATTTGAAAAAATAACACCCTGGAACATCTGATATGTTTCAACTTTTATTTCAATGTGGACAAATAACTGTAAAAATTTTTAATTTTATGAAAACTAAAATTTGATTATTAGGTACATAATAATTATAAATTGATCATTATTAAATAATTTCTGTTTATCTGTCACGACACTACGCATACTGCCATTGTTTCGCTGTTTTTATTGGTGTAATAAAAATAATATTATTTTGTGCCGTGAATACACCGCATTAGAGGTTTCGTGTAACGGTTATTATGTGATATTAAAAATGAATTGACGTAGAAAGAAATCTTTAGATTTATTTTCATTGTCTTTTATATTTAATTAAATAAACAATTTTTCTTAGGGAATTATTTTTAAACAATTAATTAAATTTATCGCTGAAGCGAGAGAGGTTTTTTTATGATAAAAAATATTAATTTTATTCCATTTATTTGATCTTAAGGTTATTTTCGAGCAGATTGTGTAAATATTTATAGTAGCAAAATTTATCTACTAGCAGGGAACGAAAATGCTAGCACAACGACGACAATGTCCGAAGTTAATTTGATCGTGTGGTAAGGCATGCGCTAACCCGATTTATGTCTCGAGCGTGGTCGCCCTACAATAAAAACTGGATCATTCTACGGGTTATTTATTTATGTGGCCAATTTATATCGTATAGCAATTTTAAATCACTTTAAATTTATTTTATCTCGGCTGCAGTCATTCTAAAAACTGTATTGGCCCAAATCGTATTGATTGATTTCGTGTTCTAGTTACATTTGTAAATGAAATAATTCCTTATATGTTGAATAAGATAATTCTTAAAATGGAAGATACCAAAAATTTTTGTTCGAAATATGATGGCATTTCGAGAAACTAGATACGTAAGTTAGAAAATTTTACATTTTTCTCATGTTACAGATATTTCATATGAGAATTTCTCTTTGAGTCGAATGTTACTGTTGTAAAGAATTTTAGGTAGGTGGGTGGGTCACCGTGTTCACGGAATGGAAAGGACACAAAAAAATCTTGTTTTTCGTTAAACCCCGTCACTTTTAAGTAACATTAGAATTGTAGGAGTACATTTCGTGTTTTAAAAGACCTTCTACATATATCTATGCTTTTACAGTGTTTAAATTGATGTAAGTTGACAACCATTATAGAAATGTTTAACATCAAATTTGTTAATATTAAATAGTAATTATGCGAGCGACTAATTCGGTCTCATTAAGATAGCTCAAGTCATTTTAATGAAGTAAATCGCAGTCCGAAGGCTTAACGGCCCAGTCGTTAAAACGTAACTCGACTGTGTTAACGACGGGGCGCTATTTAGCATAAAAAGATAAAATGTTTAAGATATTTCATAAAAATTATTATCATTCATATAACAAGTTTAATTATTGTAAATGTTGAAAACCAAACCAGAAGTCATGGAAGAACAAAAAGTAAATCAGCCAAAATATAATATATTTCCTTGTGAATCCTTTTATAATTTTAAAATTTCTCATACATACATACACACACACACACACACATATATATGTATATATATGTATATGTCTATCGTATATATAATATAATAGACGAATATATGTACTTCATTTCGTTTAAACATAAAGTAGAACGAAATAATTTTTAAAGGTTCAAATTGATTTCTATAACACTAAAGCGATGATTGGATAATTAGCTTCAATTGATGCATAAAACACAATGCCCCTAATGTGATTACAGTACATACCTACATTAGGATATGGTTTCATCGTTAATCAATAACAATTATCGCTATGACAGATACAAGGGAATTTATGGCGGAATTTAATCTCCATATAATAAATGTTTATGGTTTGTCATTTGTGTTCATTAGTTTTTAATATAAGTAATCGATATTTTATATGCAATTAAGAACCGAAAATTAGATCAATTAAGAAAAATCATACGAGCAAGAATCGAAATTGTAACATACGAAATATTTCGTTACAAGTGCTGTTCAAAGTAATTAATTTTTCATTAAATATTAAATGTTTTAATTTTTATTCAAGTATTTAGCTGAATATTGATTGATTGGTGAAAGGTAAGCAAGAAGTAACAAAAGATAAGCTTTTCTTAAATATATATTATATTTTAAACAGATACTTAGTTGTAAGTTTAAAAAATATCAAAACAATTCCTTTATATAAAATAATAGATATTAGTACATATGTATAGTACATACCTATATCAAATTTTATATTTTCTAACAGGTACATACATATTTTGGAGAGGCAGCAACCATGCATTTTCGGTTTCATAGTTTCTTAGAGCCCCTCGGGAAAACTTGGGTTATACGTAATGGGCATCGGATACAGGATAGGAAGATATCCGATATCGTTACTAGAAGAATGTGAATCGCATACAAAATAGGAAAATTACTTACAAAGTCAGGAGTCGGAAGAGCTATTGTTGACTATAATAATTCAAATATTTTAAGCTATTGCTCATATCAGATTATTTCGTTACAGCTTATTTTCTTATTTTTAGGTAAAAATTTAACTGTAAAACAGTTTGTATATAATTTATATGTGTTTAAAATGACTTCAAAAACAAAGATAATATGATGGTATTGAAATCAATAGTTTTTTTTCGTATGTGACTTTTAAATAAAAATTCCTTGTTATTTTATTTATCCATTCTGTGTATGCGGTACACGGTCTTATCTTGCGTTTATAATATTATCGATTTTCAGTTTCTTTATAGTTGATGTCTTATTTCTGCATAAACCGGTTCCCAAGGAAACCCGAGGGAGTCTGAACACCGTCTCGGACACGGGAATGCGGTTGGTAATTTTAAAATATTGCCTAAAATATCATCATTATTTTCTACGTAACGGCTTATTTAGTTTAAACCTCAACATATGTAGAAGCCATTAAATTAAACATCGTTTATCTATTCACGAGTACATAATAAATAAGTATTCTAACAAAAATGATGTCTTTAACAAGTATATCTTAATATTTGTAGTCACTTGTTAATTAACATACGTCAAAACTCACATATTAACAAACAAATCGTATACATACAGAAACACATAAACATATCACATCAAAAATTCAATATAGGGTTGAAACAAAATCAAAGTGAGCGAGTTGGCAATTGGCGGGTGTTTGTCGTATCGCTCCGCGTGATCTGCAGTCGAATGCATCCAATGCACAATGCATACAAAGTGAACTACGAAGCTCAGCCAGTCGTGATTTTTCCTTCCTATATCTCCCCGTAAGCTACAAACTGACAGATAGTGATTTTACGGACATACGGATAACGTTTTGGAGTTACTTATGCATATATCTTTGAAATTAATCAGGCAACTATAAAGTACTAGTACGTCTAAATGAGATATTTTGAGGAAATACGTATTGCTACTACACATATACTTAATATATTAATAATAAATTCATCTTATCAAACTAATGCAATATTTATATTTCACATTAAATGGAAAACGGATTTTTGTTCAGAAATTTTGTTTATATAATAAAAACTAACATTATTAAATATTACCCGACTAAAAGCGGATTTTAAAAAGTTTAAATGCTTTTAAATTACATTAACTTGATAACAATTTGCTGAGAAAAATCGGCCACACGGCTACGTACGGCTGCAATCATAAATTATTTAAAACTCATTGCAAATAAGTAAAGAGCTGATTTTAAAAAAGTAACAGAAACGTTAAGCTCGAAGTTTTAAAAGGTAGACTACGTAATGCTGTGTGCACATTGAAATAAATTGCTATCCAAAGATTATCTTATACATGATCAATGAAATAGAACGAGTTAAGTTATATCCGACATTTAATTTTAATTACAAATTTAGAGTAACATTATAAAATAAGATTAATATCTAGATATACATACATATGAATTTAATCATACCAGTTAAAAGTATTATAGTTGAAAAATCACGAATTTCTGTACAGTATATTTTTTATGACCAACGTTTAAAAGTAAATAAAAAATTAATTCATGAAGAAAATATTGTGCATAGGCTTTAAATTGGCCGCCTTTTAAATCAATATAAGACTGGGACTGTTCTAATAGGATTTCATTTAGCAATAATCAAGCTTGTTTGTAGCTGTAGCAGATAAAATATTAGTTTAAAGAGTGGCCTACATTTCCAATTTTTTTATATCTCAGAGCTATATCGGTTTTTGAATTAAATTTTGATTCAGGTGCATTTATATCTCTATTTCCTTTTGTAATAAAAATTGTTAATAGATAACTTTATTACTCGCAGCGTTCGTCGTCCATCGGAGATCTGAAGAATTCCTTCACTTAATGTACTTAAAGTTAATACTTTTTCGTTCGGGAATGTTGCCAGTTAAATTTGCGCTACAGAACAAACTTTTCAATTTTATTGCCATGTTGGAAAATATAACTGATTTAGAAGGAATCTCAGTTATAATAACTGTATTATATTTTTATTACAAGTGAAATAGTGCTTATATTTTTCGCTATTAAAACTGTGTAAAATAAAGCTATTTTAAATCCTCAAAAAGTATTTCAATTGAAATTGGTTACTACGTAATTACTAAGGGTTTGTAAAATATAAGAAGTATAATTCAATTATTTAATATCTTATTTATCATGCTGGTTTTATTCGAGTTCTTTACATAAACAGTTTGACTTATGAAATTTTTTAGTTGACAATGTATTTCAAACAATACGTTCTCATATTCCAGTTTAAAATAGTTAAATAAAGAACAATATTATTTGTAATATTTGGAGCTATGGGTCTTAATTAAAGCTTTTAATTCGTGTAAATTTTTGTTTACTATTTGATGACATTCGTAAGCATTATTTTCTAAACCGAGTTAGACTTATGATTTATCTTGATCTTTATATAAAAGAATACTTAAAATAGAATCAATAAAATATATTGGGTAACTAAATAGAACTGAATTATAACTGTTAAGTAATTATGTATATTCTACAATAATTGTCAAAACCTTTGTATGACATTGTTAGCCAATTTAGTTCTTAGTAGGAACTGTTTTGTAGGATCTGGATTTATTGATAAATAGCAAACATTTAGTTTTAATATTAAACCATTGATAAATTAAATATGCGGATCACCCCCCTCACCCTAAAAAAAAAACTTTTTCAATTTTAAATATTAAAATACTTACTTGTATCGTATTACGAAAAGTTTTAATCACTTAGGAACAAAATTTTCAATCAATCAATCAACTTTTTATGTATTGTTTATAAAATATTAATCATATTAATTTTATAGTCAGTGGTGGCCTAGTGGTTAAAAAGCCCGCCTCTCATGCATGAGGCCGCGGGTTCGATCCTGGCAAGTACCAATGTGATTTTACCGAGTCACATGTACTTTCTGAGAGTATTTAGACATCACTGATTAATGCATTCCCAAAAAAGGGAGTTGATGTCAGGCAGGCGGCCGGTCGTAAAATCAATTAGCCAAAACCAGTCACAACACGTAAGGCAGACCCTGGCTAAAGCTGGGAAATTGTCAGGTAGAAAAAGAATAATATTGATTTTATATTCTTATTACAAATTATAAAATTAAAATAAAATTTTCGTTTTTGTCTATTCTCTCATCCCATTATATTTCACATATTTAACGGTATATTGCATGAAATAGTTTCATTAAAATAATTATCTCTTACGTATTAGTTAATCTTCGTGGGAATTACAATTATATTTTTGCTCTAATTGCTTATTTCTATCACGTCTCGACTGAGTTCTAATTACATTACGACATAGTAAAGGATTGTTATCTTAATAATGAATAAAACATTATCCATTATTTTAAGATTATTAGATATATATTAAAAAAAATATATATATATATAAAATATATTAAAAATGAATTATAAAAGTCTGTGTAAAATAACATAAGCTTGGTATAGTTAAGTTTAGTTTCATAACAGAACGTGCAGGTGTTTCTTTGACAATGCATTCTATTGCTAAAGTATGAATTATATAAAAAAGTACCGTGTCGAGGCCGATCGTATAAACAAGATTCTATTTATGTAGGCCTATACCCGCTGCACCTATTTTTATCGATTGTTTATAAAAGTGTTGAACATTTAATAAGAAAAATAAAAACCAAATAGCTTATTATAGTATAAAATAAATATGGTTCAAATAGAATATGCTTTGATTTTTAGTAAACAATGTTAAATTGATTACACGTTTAGTTGACGAACAAAGTAATCAAAGGTCGCTTGTTAATTGTCGAAATGCTGAATATATTGTAAGCGCAATGTTCAGAGCAAAACAATGCAATCGCAACGTTAATCATACTATTGAGGTAGTGTGACCAATTGCTAAAGGTTGTTGTACGTATAACTTTGTTCGTATATGTAATCACGAAGCTTCACGCTTAATTCAAGCAATGGGACATTCGTTTGAGTAATTTTAAACAGATCGAGGGCTGTTTTTACGTCTATTTTTAAATTATCAGTATTTTACAATGTTTATTAACTACATGTATGGGTAAATCATAAAGGCTGGTAATGTGTGATTAAATGTCAATTGATTTTCTGAAGTGATTTTGAACCATAAGTACGTTTATGTTAAGTTCAATTTAGACTGGCTTTATGACTGTTAAATGCAGCACTGATAAATGGAAAGGCGTGTTACAACGAGTATAATATCCATTATTAGTAAGGTGATCTAGTTGCTGTGTGCAAGTTCTTTAGAATGCGGACAAAGCCCACACCCAATGAAACCTTGGACAGCAGGAAGTGGAGCAACTATTTAATTTTAGGTATCTCAAAAACTTATTATTCTTATTTAATTAAAAACATTCGGTTGTTTTGTTTTTTGTGTTGATTATATTGAAAGTAAAAATAATTGAAAAGTATTTTTATTGAAACATGAATTTTAAACATGAATGTCGTGGATATCAATTAAAATGTTTTTAATTGTAAACTATGTAGTTATAAAGTAATTTTGTATCAGATTAAGTCAGCTGTTTTATAAATAGGTTATTGTAAATGAATAATACAGGCTATGATCAAAACATGACCACGAAGTTAAACTTGCTAAGTAACAGATGTTAGGTTCAGTTTAAGACAAAGGATATTTCTTCCTTTGATAAATATGGCACCAGTAATTCGATATTTATTACATTTCAACGTTGGCTCTTTCAAAGGAAACTTTATGGATACAATTTAGAGGAACTTATAAGTTATATTCATAGTTCAAACTACAAAATAAAAATCGATGATATAATAAAAATTACATTAATAAATTTATTTACAAGTTTGTATGTATTTATAATCTTTCCGTTGTATCCCGTCTCAGATAACAGTGCTTATGGTACCCTTATTCTTTATCCATTAACACACAATATCACAGCAAACAACAATCAAGAAATGCTATTGAAGCAGGCAAGCACGTTCCCGCCGCGTTACCCCTCACATGACTCGGCAAATTATTAAAGTATGCATGTTTTTCTACTTTAAGCGTAACCAAATGCCGAGACCTTATTCTCAAAGTTATATTTATACTTTGTGGAATGAGTAAGTGTAGCCATCAGGTGCGCGGTTTAGGCTGAATTTTCCTGGTGGGAAGAAACGGGATGGCGGTGGTGTGGTGGCATCGTAATAATCTTGATGAGCTGGCTGTGAATTGTATTGTTGCGACTGGATTCCACTGTACTGAGCTTGTTGTACTCCTGGGTAGATGTTGTTAGATTGGTATTGAGGTTGAGGTTGGGGCTGGTATTGAGGTTGAGGTTGATATTGAGGTTGAGGTTGATATTGAGGCTGGGGTTGGTATTGAGGTTGAGACTGGTATTGCTGTTGAGGTGCAACATAGTTGTCATTTTCGTACAGTTCAGGGTGGTATTGTCCATCATCCACACTGGGTTTTCCGCCGTAATTACGAGGTGCTACAGGAGCGGAATACTGTTGGGGTGCGCTGTATTGAGGTGACTTGTAGTCGGGAGAATTGTAACGAGGGTCTGGCTGATAACCGGGTGTAGGAGCTACAGGTAGAGGAGCTGTGGGAATGTGGTCCCCGATAGCTTGGAATCCATTTTTACCAGCTATATAGTTCACTGTCTTCCTTTGTCCTGTGGGGTCGATGTACGAGTAGCTTCCCTTCCTGTTGCCATCAGCGTCTGTCTCCTCTTTAAAGTCAATACCATCTTCCTGTTGGTAAGCAGCGCCGAAGGCACCATTTCCACTGAGATAGCGAGCTTCTTGCACAATTGCGGCTGTTTTAGGATCACCCGCATATTTTGGAACACGTCTTGCTCCTTCTTGTTGCTGACACGCGGCCAACGATAACACAAAGGCGAATGCTAAGAGCCTGTACATTTTGCTCAAAATGTGCACTGCTCGCGTGAAAGTAACAAAGTGTGAGCTAGAAGGCGTTTAAACTCGTTTTATATGAACAGTAAAGACCTTGACGTCTTTTGGAAGGGCTGGTGGGCATGACCGCAAGCTACTATGATGTATGTATATGGCTAAGAAATTTCTTTAAACCAACGGAAACAAGTGGTCTTCGCGGAAGTGACCATATGGAAAGCATGTAATCGTCACCAGCTTTAATACATCCGTAAATACTTGGAAGTTGAATGTCAATAAGTAAATGGTATTTTAGGAATTTCACCTCGATTAAATTGCTTTAGTAATTATAATGCTAAAAAGTCGTTTTTTTTCTATGATTATCATCGTGAGAAATAAGACTAATTAAGATTTGTGTTAGTATATTTTTTTATACTTTTATGAATTTTAGTATATTTTGCATGTGAATATTTCTCACTGTGTGAGGTGTTAGGTAATTTAATTAAAATTTACTTGGGGATTTATAATTTTTAGTAGACATGAATTGTTCTAATATTTATTTATATGTAAAAAAATCATATTAAAAACACCTTTTATTTACGGAAACGATAAAAATTCTGTAACTTTAACTTAAAAACGTATTATATGTGAAATGGTGATAGTAAGGCCACTTGAATATTTCTAGAAAATAAAACTTATGAAAAAACATACTTCTTGAGGATGTCATCCTTGTTTATTACTAGTTTCCATATGTTTAACTACCGATTTTTTTATTCAATATATATAATTACTATTAACCATGACTAGTGCTATATTGTATTATCAAGGCTAACGCCTACATAAATGGAGATGTATATTGAAAAAATCTTGTACTAATTGGCATAAATAATAATTAAATTTAAATAAATCCAATTAAATCATGATGGCATGAATAGAAAAGTCTATAAACTAGAAGTTCTGAACAAACTTTCGCATTAATAAATGTTGATTTGTTTGTGCCTAGATGAGTCTTGACTATATCAATTATATTAATTAAAATAACATTTATCAAATAGATATAATAGCAACTTTAGTTTTATTCTAGGATAAAATTTGAAATTTTTATTTCATTTACTCAGTGTATACAAATGTGAATGATATATTTTCTTTAAATGGCAGGTCAAGTGAATTGTTTGCAAAATCTAACTGCCTTAAATGTGGAGCACGCTTTTATGTAATGTAACGTATTTATGTATAAAACTAGTTGTTTTATTCGGATTCGTTTCTTGGAGGTTCTATTATATCGCCTTAAAGCAGACTATTTGTTCTATTAATTTTAAACTATATTCATACAGACAGACAGAGTTACTTTCTTCCTTTTATACATATTCATATCCATATTTTCCTTGACTTGTGACATTATAGAATCCTTTCACCTATTAATTTATCATTACTGAATATTTATATTAATATTTATTGGTTGAAAATATTATAGATGGGGAAAAATAATGAATGAAAGGTAATTCTTGAAGGAATCATTAAATATACTAAGATATAAAAGCATATAAGGACCTATAATTAAAAATATTTACAGATAACAATATAATGATTCAACCAATATTGAGTGTATGCATGTTTGTCATTTGCCTTGATTTAATAGTTATTCCACTTACATCAACGTTAATTCAAAGTAACAGTAGAGGCAAGGTTAACAACCACGTGTTTGTTGTACGAGTATGTTTTTTTTAAAGATTTATATATATTGAACAAAATTATTTGTAAAGGACTTATTTATATAAGTGAATGTCTTTTAACAATATGTTATTGTGATAAAAAACACGTAAACTGTTATATTAAGTTGAAAAATATATAATACTACTTAGAAGTCTCAAATTGTGAGGTGTAATTTGAATTCTTGTAATTGACACTGGAAAAGGTGAACAATTACCCACGAGTCAAGGTTAAACCTTATACTACATTACTGTGCTTATTTATGTACGTATATATAATGTGGTATATAAATTCTCGTTACATACCTATATACTGTGATTTGGTATGTTATAATCTTCTAAGTCTCATGTCAAGCATAATGCAATATGTAGCCATTAACCTAATCTGGTTTGTAATAGTTACGTTCAACGTGTTTAATGTTGCATTCGATGGCATTAAAAATATTAACACTTACCCGACAGCAGTACAAAAATGGGTGTTATAAGAACAATAGTATGTTTTGTATAGCTTTTAGAAGAATATATCAGACCTTTTATATATCTAATATTAATAAGTGGTATGTTGTTATAAATAAAAATTGTACCAATGAAAGTCTGACTTGAAATCAGTATGTGAAATACGAAAACATAGATAAGATGGTGTTCGTTTAATTTAAGCAATTACTCTCACTTTTTACTTGAATTAAATTTCAAGTAAAAAGTGAGAGTAATTGCTAGAGTAGCCAACATATTCTTAACAAAAACATATATATTTTACCGTTAAGAAACTCTCATACATTGTCTGGTTGCGAATTAATGCATTTTAAATAATATGATAATTTTTGATTAAATTACAATCGTGTTTTTCCTATTTATTTAGTTTTAATACAAAAGTTTTTTTTTATTGAGACAAAAATAAGTAAGATTCGATTAATATTAGTCAAAACAGCACAACAAACGAAATATTAAGTGACAAGGGGGGAAACGAACATATTTATGGCAAAAGGAAACTTAAAAAATAGAAAACAGTTCTGAATTATACATCATTTAAACATTCTAAAAACAAATGCATAATAAAAAGTGGTATTCACCTAATAGGAGTAAAATAAACTTAATGCTTGTTACTGCTAACTTTATTCATTTATCATCTGCGTAACTTTTAACTTCTCTTATTTTGCAATAACCTTATTTTTTATATTTATACGTATCTAATTGTCTGTGAATATCGGTGTGAGGACTCTTATTGATGTTTATAAAGAAAATATAAGTATTTAATCAAATAATTCATAAAAAAATAGTTTAATATGAAATATTTATTGTGTATGAATAAAATAAAACTTTTGAATTTAAGTTTATGAATATTTTTTTTACTTATAAAGTATTACTCAAGTCATAAAAACTGTGTTGGAAAGGATCTGATTATATTAGGAGAAAAAACGGTTAAATCATTGAAACATTTAATGTAAGTAGTAATAACGTTAGTTAGTCTCATATGATATAAAGTTAATTTTAGAATACTTTTCAAAAAATAGTCCATATGTTATAAATTTAATATAACCGTACGTCAATTGATATATGTCGTAATGAAATTTTTAATATCGCTTCCAATGTAACAATTTGAAATACATATAGTATATTGTCTGAAAGGCGTTTTTCTTGGTTTTCATCAACGCGAAAGAGATATTTTCTTACCTATATCATAAATTAACTTTTTGCGACGAGGCAATTGCCCTCGGAAAGGATTTTTTCATGTGATTTATTATTATCACTACTATTGTCCGCACACTGAAAAGAAGGTTACCTAATACACCGTCTAAAATACACTTCACGTAAGCCAGCTCTCAATATTAATCTTCAGAATAAAGGTTTAATGGTAGCTAAGTTTGAGTATTTTATTGTACATAAATGCCTAGATGAAAAATATAGCAAAGTTAACACAACTATCTAATGAGTAAAAATGTTTTTTGTAGAGTAACAATATAATTTGTTCATTCTCTCCATATCGATCTATCTATCTATTTTCCTAAGACACAACACTGAAATGACGTTATAGATCGCTGAATGATCGTTCGCAAATATTTTTAGCAAATAACGGATCACCTTACAAGCTATGAAACATTACCTTTGGAGAGAATTGTAAACATTGCACTTTTTATTACCAATCAAATGTTTTCTGATATCAAATAAACAATTTTAAACTAACATTCATTTCAATTTCAATGAATAATTACAAATTTACTCTATCAGATTTCTTTGTCGGACCACCAGTTTCACAACAATATGAAAACAGTAAATTAAAAGCAGAGAATGAAAATATTTTAGATTTTCCTTTCAAACGAAATAATAACAGTCAACCATTAAATATTGAGTTATAAACATTGTAATTACTGGAGTCAAAGCAAAATATATTTAATATAAATATTCTTAAGAGAATCTAGTAGTGCACATTCAGATTTTTTTCTTATAATTTTTAATACGAAATCAAAATGAAGTTGCAGGTTTATAAAAATAGTTGGTGATTACTAAAGAATTATAAACTGTGTTGATTCTGATGGCTAGTGTTCATAACAAAAAGAGATTTTATTATTATAATAACTATAATTGCTGGAGGTGGTAATTTCTTGAAAGTTATGAAAGGATTTACGGACAAGTTCGCGAACACTTGTAACTTTCAGAATATATTATGAATTTAACTTTATAATTTAGACTTAAGCTTCGATTGGAATTGGAAAAGTCCTTTAAACTTCTGCTAATGGATTGTTCTTGGTGAACTAGTCGGGAGGATTCCAAATTACAATCAAAATCCCCTATAAAGATATAGTTTAAAGTTTCGAACTGACTGAAATAATGTTTTATATATTTTTAACTTTTATTCTATACGATTCATCTAATCTTTATACCGCTTTTATTTCTCTTCGTATAATACGAGTACCAATTTTTGATATGAAGTTGTTATTTACTCTGATTAATGATTTTATATATGCCACATCATTGTAACACACGAAAAACAGTAACTTTCATATAAGTAAAGAAATATTATCCGTACAATGGAAAAACTTATCAGAAACTTATCTCACACAAGAACTAAGTTGATATTTCAGTATAGTCCTTCTTCCTTTGTATTGTTTTGTCTTTTTTTATTCTAAGGGAAGTAGGAAATGGAGATTAATTTATTACTTTGCAAAGAAAACATTGAAAGCGGGAAGCTCTCTATTAAGACTAGCGTAGAATGGACTATTAATTATGATTTCTTTTAACGTCCGACGACAGCGGTGGGCTAACAGATGCGGACCTATTACGTGTTTTGAGAAACCTGCTGTGAAAAATGGATGCCGTCAAACC